CATACTCACAATCGCACACTCACAATCGCACACTCACACACACACTCACAATCACTCGCACACATACTCACAATCGCACTCACACTCACTCACACACATACTCACAATTGCACACACACTCACAATCACTCACACACTCACAATTCCTCACACACTCACACACATACTCACAATCGCACACTCACTCACACACATACTCACAATCGCACACTCACACACACATACTCACAATCGCTCACACGCATACTCACAATCGCACACTCACAATCGCACACTCACACACACACTCACAATCACTCGCACACATACTCACAATCGCACTCACACTCACTCACACACATACTCACAATTGCACACACACTCACAATTCCTCACACACTCACACACATACTCACAATCGCACACTCACAATCACTCACACACATACTCACAATCGCACACTCACAATCACTCACACACATAACACACACTCACAATCGCACACTCACACACACATACTCACAATCGCACACTCACAATCACTCACACGCATACTCACAATCGCACACTCACAATCACACACGTACTCACAATCGCACACTCACACACACACTCACAATCACTCGCACACATACTCACAATTGCACACACACTCACAATTCCTCACACACTCACACACATACTCACAATCGCACACTCACAATCACTCACACATACTCACAATCGCACTCACAATCACACACATACTCACAATCGCACACACACTCACAATCGCACACACACTCACAATCACTCACACACTCACTCACAATCGCACACATATAATTCCTCACACACATACAAATCGCGCACACACACACACACACACATGCACACAAAGCTCATATCTGAACATCTGCCAGCACATCTGAGCATGTGAGACTGTGCTCCTCAGGCTCAGTGAAGGAGAGAGCGGCGTATGATGAGGCCGTGAAGCGCGTAACGGGTCTGAAGGAGAGCCAGACGCCGCGTCCGAGCGTCCAGATGAAGCTGAGTCTGGACGGAGTGCCGCTGAACGGAGCCGATATCAGACTCAAGCTGCTTGTGAAGAGCGAGAACAGCAAAGCACAGGATCTGACGCTGAAGATGAGCGCTCAGGTCATGAGATACACAGGGAACCCGGCAGCCGGCATCTGGAGTCACACCGCAGACCTACAGCTGCAACCCAACACAGGTACAGGACTAGTCCTGACAACTAACCAGCGTCAGCTCGCTTACAAGAGCTACGGACACAAACAACACCAGTAATACCAGCAGGGCTTGACATTAACAGGTTGAATTTTATGCAGCCTACAGTAGCAGAGCTCGACATTAATGCTTGTGTGGGACAAGTGGATTTTTTGAAGGGGCAAGTGAAAGAGAATTATACTTGCCCGACCGGACAAGTAATCTGATTAAAACATCTAATTAGAGAAGCACTGAATTTTTGGCGCAAATTATTCTGATTTTATTACTTTTGGTGTAAACGGCGATTGATAATGGATAATATTGACAGGAACAAGGTCGCGCCAGTTGAGGCTCTCACAGCCTCGTGGAGAAATCAAAACAAATGAACGCAACTGCACGAGGTTGAATTTTATGCAGCCTACAGTAGCAGAGCTCGACATTAATGCTTGTGTGGGACAAGTGGATTTTTTGAAGGGGCAAGTGAAAGAGAATTATACTTGCCCGACCGGACAAGTAATCTGATTAAAACATCTAATTAGAGAAGCACTGAATTTTCGGCGCAAATGATTCTGATTTTATTACTTTTGGTGTAAACGGTGATTGATAATGGATAATATTGACAGGAACAAGGTCGCGCCAGTTGAGGCTCTCACAGCCTCGTGGAGAAATCAAAACAAATGAACGCAACTGCACGAAACATACAGTAAAAATGTAACTTAGTTTTTATATTTAAAACATGTAGCCTAGTTACGCAACATGACACGACCAAGAGAGTGAAGTTTAACCTGAAAACCGCGATTGCAAATTTGACATAGATTTTATAGAGTTAATATACACTTTAGTACAATATTGTCAATGTTGACTGTTTTTGCTCGATTTTTGGTTAACAAAAATTGTTTCAAACAGAGATCACAGCAAATCAGTCGCGTATCTCTGAGCAACACAGCGGTGTTTCGTTACTGAATGATTTGGCGTTTTAGAATTAATCATTAAATCAAAACAAATGAACGCAACTGCACGAAACATACAGTAAAAATGTAACTTAGTTTTTATATTTAAAACATGTAGCCTAGTTACGCAACATGACACGACCAAGAGAGTGAAGTTTAACCTGAAAACCGCGATTGCAAATTTGACATAGATTTTATAGAGTTAATATACACTTTAGTACAATATTGTCAATGTTGACTGTTTTTGCTCGATTTTTGGTTAACAAAAGTTGTTTCAAACAGAGATCACAGCAAATCAGTCGCGTATCTCTGAGCAACACAGCGGTGTTTCGTTACTGAATGATTTGCCGTTTTAGAATTAATCATTAGAGTCAATGATTCAGTGGTCCATTCACAAAGACAGGCACTTGCTTCATTCTTAAATGAATCAGCCGTCTGAACGAATCGTTTGAATGAATGCCTCAATGACTCACTCATTAAGACTACTGGCAGATTACTTTCATATTTAAAAGTAGCTTATCTTTGCATTTTTCCCTCAACATTTCATATTTGTATATTTAAAAAAAAACACTAATTTAAAAACACCAAGCTCATAACATTATGTTGTATCATTAAGAATCTAACGCGTATCATCATTGACAATAGCGAGAATTAAAAAACTCAAAAATAAAACGATGCATTATAGTGGAGGAATTCATGTAAAATGTAATGTTACATTTAGATCAGGGATTTCCAAACCTTTTTTAGCTGAACCTATTTACTTTAAGATTTTAAGTTAATATTTCAATAATAATGTTAAATTCATAATTAAAGAATTTAAATAAACACTTAAATAATAATGATACAATTATTAATAAAAATTAAAAAAATAAAAACGGCTATATAAACACATACACACTTTATATAAAGAAATTGAAGTGTAATATTAAGATCATAAAATTACAATGGGTGTGAACATGCAAATGTGAAATAGTATCGTAAAATCTCAAAGTAAATATTTCAAATTGTAATGGTCCTAATACTACACTTAACAAGTAAATAAAACAATGTAACAACACAATAAGCTATCTTTTACCAACCAAGGTGTGTTTTTCTCTGAGATTCACCCAGCAGTTAACTACACTTGCATTGGTATGATTCCAGGTGAAATCATCTCTGGCTGGTTTTGAATCATTAATTTGAAGCACAAATACACAGACTCATGTCCTCATGTGCTTGTTTCAGAGCAAACTCTTCCCTTCACACTGCCGTTTACCGCATACGGACCAAAACTGCTTGACAACAACTGCATCAAAGTCTCTGTGATCGCCATGGATAAAAGCGACCCGAAGGAAGTTTATCTGGCGGAGAAAGACGTGGTTCCTCACAGTCCGGCGCTGAAAGTCACAGTGAGTGTCTCACACACATTCTGATGCTGATTGGTTGAGTTGGTGTTGAGATTAACGCATTACAATTAATTAATTTAGAAGGAAATATCGGAGTTACTTTTTGAAATCAGTAACAGCAGTTACTTTGTTTCCATGTGTTGAGTGACAGCTCTGTTGTTGCCATGGTGACAGAAATCAGGAGTAGCAAGCCCTGCCCAGATTTAAAAAGTAACTAAAAAGTAACGTAACGCGCATTACTTTCCATAAAAAGTAACTAAGTAACGTAATTAGTTACTTTTTTAGGAAGTAACGCAACATTGTAACGCATTACTTTTAAAAGTTTCTTTCCCCAACACTGTTTGTCAGTAGTGGATCAGTAACCCGTGAGTGCTGTGTGTGTCTGTGTGTGTGTCTGTCTGTCTTTGTGTGTGTGTGTGTGTGTGTCTGTGTGTGTGTCTGTCTGTGTGTGTCTGTGTGTGTGTGTATGTGTCTCAGGTGAGTGGGACTCCTCTGCAGGACAGTGAGATGAGCGCTGAGGTGCTGTTTGAGAATCCTCTGTCCTCGCCGCTCAAGAACTGCTCCGTCACGCTCACCGGCAGCGGCCTGCTCAAACAAACAGAGCAATCCAAGTGAGTCCCAGCTTCTCCCGCACGCACTAAACTCACACTCGCTGTGTTTATCACCTGTTCGTTAAGGTCTGCAATTTTAATTTTATTCAGATGATTTAATTTCATTTTTACTATCTTTATTTTTAAGTTACTTACTTTTTTAATTCAATTATTCACTTTACTTAATTGAATAAATTATAATTTATTATTTTTAGTAAGCTTTTTAAAGATTTATTTTTATGACATTTTTATTTTTAAGTCATTTTTAACAGTTAACATTCAGTTTTATTTTGATTGTAATTTAAAATTATTTACTTTTAATTTAATACATTTTAATACTTTCAGGTTATTCGTTTTAATTTTACATTTTATGATTTAATTCTTATGTTTTATTTTATTTATTTTATTATTATTCATTTGTAAGTCGCTTTGGATAAAAGCGTATGCTAAATCATGTAAATGTAAAGTTATTTACTTTTAATTTACTACATACATTTTAGTAATTTTTTAAGATTCACTTTCATTTGACATTTTTATGATTTAATTCCAAGTGTTTTATTTTGATTGTTTTTTTTATTTTAAAGTTATTTACTTTTAATTTAATAAATACATTTTTTTGTATTTTGTAAAGATTTTTTCAATTGCCACATTATTATTTAATTTATTTTTAAAGTGTTTTATTTTGAAATTATGATTTTTAGAAAGTTTTAGGAATATTCATTTTAATTAAAAAATTTTTTAATTTAATTATTGTTTTATTTTGATGGTTTTAATTTAAAATGATTTAAATGTTACTTTTTTTGTACCATGTAAAATTATTAGACATTTTATTTAGCCTTTCATCAAACTCACAAACCCTGATTTAGAGAACACATCAAAGTGATTCTTCAGAGTTTTTAAACAGATGAAGCGTTTGTGTTCGGCAGCACCGTGGAGCTCGGCCCGGGTCAGAGAATCACACTGAAGGTGGCCTTCAAGCCCTACAGAGTCGGACCGAAGAAACTAGTGGCCAACTTCGACAGCTCCACCTTCAGAGACATTAAAGCCAGTGTGGACGTCAACGTGCGACCCGCCGCGACACGACTGGGATTCCTCAGCTTCAGCCGATAGAAGAACCATCAGAGCTTTTATTCACACAAACACCAGCCAACACAGGATTTAGAATTATCATCTCAACAGCTCATTTGTTCAACTGTGTTTAATCAGAATAAATAAGCATTTAAAGCAAAAAGTCTCTGTTGATTTAATAAAGGAGGTTTTGAGTGATTACATGAATCGTGAGCATGAACAGATGTTAAGAATAATGTGAAAACATCACTAAATATTAGTGCTGTCAAACGATTAATCACGATTAATCGCATATAAAAAAAATAAAAGTTTTTGTTTACATAATATATGTCAGTGTGCTGTGTTTATTTATTATGTATATATAAATACACACACACATATATATTTTGAAAATATTTACATGTATATATATTTATATTATTATATATAAATATGTTTAATATATAAACAACATATTTTTCTTAAATATATATACACATGCATGTGTGTGTATTTATATATACAAAATAAACATACACAGCACACACACATGTATTATGTAAACAAAAACTTTTATTTTGGATGCGATTAATCGCGATTAATCGTTTGACAGCACT